GCGCCCACTCGCGGGGCCTGCCCTGTCCCGGAGCCTGACGGGGAGGCAGGGTCACGGCAGGCCAGCAGGGCGGGCTTGGGGCTGGTCCTGGGTAGTCTTGATTAAAATGGGAGAAGAGATGTGAACTAAGGTTCTCTTAATCAGCATGGCCCGCTACCAAATTTAAAAGTTGTAACGTATTTATGACAAACACAGCATCCGTGTTACGGGGTTGATGGGTTCGGGACACTGGGGCGATTCACTTTCCCAACCACCTGACTCAGTCAGTCGAAAGCAGGATTCCGGACAAGATACAGGAAGTTCTTTACTTCCTCGCACCTCAGACGAGACGCTGCAGCCACGCTCTTGCTGAGTATGGTTAGCACCTTGGTGTCACACGGTTTTGTCACCCGCCTTTTATCACTGATACTAAAAGAGCACTTAAATGTTGAGATTGAAAGAAAATGACCAATGTGGACTGGTGTCTCCTCCTGCACCGCCGGCTGGGGGACAGAGTGCCTGTCGTCACACCACACTGCCCTCCACAGTGGGACCCCAGGTGGAGTGAGCGGCCGGCCTTTCCCTCTGTCCTCACTCCGGCGTCAGAACCATGCCCACACACTTCCATCCCCGTGTGCTAGGCTGAGACGGCTGGCTCGGACGTCGTGTACTCACTTGTACTGAAGCAGTTGCGTTGCAAGGAGCTGGCCTTTGGCGAGTGCTGCCAAGTCTCCAACACTAAGTCCCCCTCCTGGAACGCGGGGGACCAGGACCGGCTCAGGGGGGCTGGTGGCTGCCAAGGCCGGGCCATGGGCACTGCGACTGACGTGGCTGGAGGCCAACCCTCGGGTGGGCCCCCTTGGCCGGAGTCCCCCTCCCTCCCTCCTTCCTTCAAATTCAGGGATGGAGTGGGCGGCGGGGGAGAGCTGTAAGATTTTGTTAAAGAAAAAATAAACTGCTGGTTTTGTAGCCTCCCGTCTCTGTGCGCTGTCAGCTTCACATTCTCCTGGCCTTTTTTGGCCAAGAGAACTTCAGGTGCTAAATCGCCGGGGGGTATATTTAGAAATACTGCGTCAGTGCTGCCTCAGCGGTAACAGGTGTGCTTGGGTTTGATCAGTTCAGACTCATGGGAACAGCCGTATTTGAAGACACTGGAGGTGGCCTGCTTCTCCTTTCCTGCTGGCAGCACTGCTTGTGTTGCAGAAAAGACATTTATTCAGCTGTGACGTTTTTCTGGCAGAAAGGGAAAGTGGGGGCCATAATTCCCCGATAATCCAAAATTATAGCTTCACAGATGTCGGATTCCCCTGGAATAGACTGAGCTGTAAATGACCAAGTCCCGGGGTCCTCAGCCCATCTGGACGGGAAACGCGGCAGCTACTCCGTCACCCTGTCCCCAGTCACGCCTGGCAGTGAGACATGACGAAGCGCCGTGGGTGTGTGCATTCTGGAAAGCCACTGCACTTCAGAGACTTCATAAGCGAAAAGAAGAGAAGTTTCCAGCTCCCTCCAGTGGCCCATTTCCCTTTGTGAGCCCGCCCGGCCCTGCGGCCTCCTGTCCCCGCAAGCTTCTGCCCCGGGGCTACAATGCCACCACCAGCACCTCCTTCCAGGTGCCTGTACAAGCCCTGGGCCCCCTCACCCCTCAAAGCGGTGACTCTGCACTGAGGTCAGAGCTGCCCATCACGCCTGCTCTCCTGCCCCCCCCCCCGGGGGTGTGGGAGCAGCTCCGCCACCCACAGCCCGGCCACTCGTGCCTCCCCGGGGACGGCCCCCCAGCCCCACCCCAGTCTCTCCTGCTCCCTAGTCCGGGGTCACCTCCGTGTTGGGTGTCTCAGGATTCAGCAACCAGCCGTGACAAACGGTAATCTGACCCAGCACCAGTGTGCCGAGGGTGGGCACCGCGATAGAATGTCTCTTCTGGAAGACAAGGCAAACCCCAAGCGGCCCGGCCCCCACGGTCACGGGCCTTGCACCACGTCCTCGCCCAGGGCCTGCTCTCTGGGGGTCCTGCCCGTCCCCCTGGCAGTGGAGGACATCCCTCTGCGGTAGCTGCACTGGGGCACTTCCCCCGAGTGCCCATCCTGGGGACCTGGGGACCGGGGCCTCGGGGACCAAGTGACCACCGGCTTTTTCCTGCCTGGCGGGGTCTGGCCGGCTTCCCCGCTGCCTGGGATGCCCAGGGGACTTGCAGGTGGCCTGTGAGTGAGGACGCCTTCCGCTCCCCAGCCCGCTGCTTCTCCTCTGTTTTCCAACCTGCTTGTGCTTGTGACCGAAACTGCAAAGGCCAAGCCCTGGCTCCTGCCGGGACCGACACTGTTCGGAGGCCAGTGCCCGGGCTGGGCTGGGCTGTGTGGCTGGAGGTCCCCCCCTGCCCCCGTCCTGGCCACTGCAGGCTCAGACCCGCCCCACAGGTGTGCCGGGCGGCTCCGAAGTCCCCTCCGCGCGGTTCCCAGCGCCGCTTTGGCCTCACACCTGCAGAGCGCGGGTAACTCGTGTCTCTGTGTGCTTTTGCCTTTCCAAGGGCTGTGAGGTCTTTGCCCAATTCTACCCTCGGGAGAGACGAGTACTTGTTCTGGAAAGACAGTGACAGGAATCAGTTTCAACTCTGAGACAGAACAGGACAGCTGCAGTGCCCACTCACGTCAGAGGAGCGCAGGGGAGGCCGGGACCCGGAGGAGACGCGGCGAGTCCGGGAGCAGCTCTGGCTGCTGGCGCTTCGGCCGTCACGTCCACGCTCCAGGGCAGCAGCAGGAGGAGCTGAGAGAAAGGCACATTCTCATATTTTTAAGGAAACTTTCTGGAAATTTCAGTCAATATTTCTCTCAGTCTTGTGACTAAGGCCGACTGCAGAGGAGGCTGGGGAAAGCGGCCACGTTTGCAGAGGCCCCTCTGGGCCCATGGCTTCCCGGGACGATGCAGGTTCTGCTGGGGGCGGGGGGAGGGAGGACCGATGCGTGCGGGCCTCAGCCGCGGCCTCGGGGACGCCCAGAGAGGCTGAGCCCCAGTGACACAACGCAGGGCGACGTGAGGCCTGGGCGCAGAGCTGAAAGGCACCCGAAAAGCTCAGGAGTCATTTTTCCATACAGTATTTTTAGATATCAAAATTAATGCAGAAAATCCACAATGAACAAAATACCAAAACTTTTAAATAAAGGCAGGGTCAACACAAGTCGGGCCATGCAGGCCAAGATACTCGCTTTAGAAAACAAACATCTTCCAAAGTCCCTGCCACGTCCTGCGGCCAGGCGCACGGCCACCGCTGGCCAGCTCCGTCCCAGAGCTCTCCTGAGGAAACTGAGCTGGGGTCAGAAGGAAGAAGGAACAACATGAATAGAAGTGCTCCCTTTCATGGAGGATAGCAGGAAGAAGGGGGAGGATGGGGTGCAGTGGTCACATGCGTGTCTCGGTTTCCCTTCTCCAGCCCCCAGGCCCTCCCCAAGTCCTCCTCAGTCGTCAGGCAGTGTACACACTGAGCTGAGAGCCATGAAGGGGCCAGAATTCAGGGAGGGAGTGGAAGCCCCCAGGGCCGAGGCGAGAGGGTCACCAGGAACACCCCCTGGTTACAGCTGCCAGCCTCCAGGTGCACGGTCAGCACCCCAGCCAGCAGGCAGGGCCACGCTGGCAGAGGGGCCGCTGCTGACCAGCCGGTGCCGAGGGACAGCTCACGGCAAGAGGGCTCCCTCCCTCCCGTCTCCCCTCAGACTCACGTGCCTCCCTCCTTCCAAAGACCTGGAGAGCATCTGAAGGGGAAAGCAGGACCAGGCGGGCGTTAACTGAGGAACTTCTTCCCTGCGGGGACCTTAAACCCCGAGGCGCCCTCCAGCAGAGACCGCTGGCTGGTGAGCGCAAGTCACGGCCCTTTCGTCCTCGGCAACGGCCGCACTGCATTTGCCAGCCTCCTTTGCAGCCAGGTGCGGCCAGGTCCCCCAGGTTTCCATTTCCACAGCACTGCTTGCAGGCTGGCTCAGGAAACCCCTGTGCGCTCCTCCTCCCTCCCCTGACCCCAGCAGGAAGGCGATGACCCCACCAGCCGTCACCCAGATCCCCGAGTGACCACGTGGAGGGGCTGCAGCCTGAAACACACCTGCCCACTCCTGTTCTGGAAACGAAAACACTTGGTTCTGTTAAGAGTCATTGCACTTGGTGGTTTACTTGTTGAAGCAGCTTAGCCTACCCTAACTTGAAAATTTATGTTACTAGATCAGATCAAATTTAAACCGGACATAGCACTTGTTTTCTGGTGGATGAATTCTTAACAAGAAACTGCATTAAATCCTGCAATCACATCGCACTTGAATCCTCCCTCCGCTCCTCTGGGCTGTGACCTGGCCGCCCCCACCCCCAGTTGCCACCTCTTGGAGAAGCCTCCCGTCTGCTTTCTGATGCAGGGGGGCTGAGTCCCGTGCGAGATGGACCACAAGCAGGACCTCCCCCGCCAGGATGCCTGCACGTGATGTAGGTCCTGTTTTCTCACCTGTCAGGCAGCCTGGGCTTGGTGTCAGCCCTGGGACCCAGGACAAGCACCATACTCTGGTACCCAACTTCCCTGTGGCTCCTGCCTCTGCCAAGTGCTGCTGTGTGACACGGGACAAGTGAACCTCTCTGAGCCTGTGTCCTCATCTGTAATACGTAAATACCCACCCAGTAGGACGGTTTAAGAGGAATAGATGGGTTAATAAGTGTAAAGTACTTGGGCCAGCATCTATCATAAAACAGCATAAACGTGTTAGCCATCAGCATCGCCATCAGCCACCACTGGCACAGCCTCTTCCCCTGTGCACCCACTGGCTTAGTCACAGGGGATTCCAGACAATGAGACACGTCTAGACTAACATTAGGTCAGTAGGAGCTAGCGCTTCTGAAGAGGTTCCTTTTATCTTAAAGAGAGACACAGACAAGACATCCCACCTGTTCACCCACACCTTACCTTGGACATGGTCATGTTTAGATGTGATACCTGGATAGTGGCAGCTATCTTGCAACCATGAGGCCTGATCCTGGATGGCCACATGGGAGGAGGGTGCACACAGGACAAAACTGGGGCTCCACTAAGCATGGAAGGAGAGAGGAGAGAGCTTCTGGGAGACAACCAATACATCCACAGCCCGAAGATCCTTTTTGTACCCTGCCAGCCTGATTTTCAATCCCATGAGTCCAGCGCCCATCCCCCACTGCAGGAAACTGGGGATGACAGAGTGACTTTGAGCTCGGAGAGGCAGCTTTCTTGGAATAAAGGTACTATAGCTAAACAGAGAGAGGTAGGGGCGCTTCCAGCTTGCAATTTTATATAAAAGACTTAGGAGATGAGAATAGTAGCTAAAATGACCCAGTCCCAAAAGGCTGGGCTGCAGCTCGTGGGACGAGGTCTGAGCACCTCAGCTCTGCCAGCCGCCCCTCCCTGCCGAGGGTTTAATTCAGCAGATCCTATAACCCACACCCTAAGTGAGACAATGGCATTCCATTTTGCTTTTCAGCCACCACCACCAATTCAACCTACTTTTAGAGCAGGGGAAAAACATAATTCTGAATCCAGTTTGGAAAGATTTTGGCCAGTGATATTTTATGTCAAAGCACAAGGAATGATGACAAGAAATCTGACGATGGAAGATCAAAAACAGGCTTGTTTTATTTATACACAGAACAACTTATTTACACCCCAGATGTGGATATGTACATAGCAATACAGGAGGCCTTGCTTCCCCGGTGGGCGCTGTATAAATTAAGATCATAAATATGAGGGAAGCCCCACCTGAGGGCGCAAAACCTTTCCTCCAAAGCTCTCTGGGGATCCTTCCTAGCCCACTCTACGCCAACAGGACCAAGAGACCCCGGGCCCCCGGAGGGACAGCCTGCCCAGCCGCACAGCGGGGACAGCAGGGGGAGGGGAGTAGCCGCACGGGCAGCAGTGGGACCAGCGCAGCGCACAGAGGCCACCTGCACCCACGCGGCTTCACGCAGCACATTTACTCCTCTCCCTCTAACTCACTCAACTCAGAAAATGGTTTTGCGTAAACAGTGTTGCTCTAACCACTGCCATGACTTTTAAACACCAGGCTCGCCCTAAACTAAGCCTTTCCCATGGAAGGGTGCTGAGGACGGGGTGGCCTTGGTGCCCTGGGGGGCCCCGGGAGCACCGGCCACCACTCCCTCACGTGCCCTCCTCTCTGGGTGCATCCTGAGAACCTCAGACCCGAGGGTCCCCCGCCTGAAGCAACAGAGCAGACCCCGTTCTGGAACCTCGGGCCCCGCATCTGCTTGCTCTGCTTTGAAACTGAGTGACTCCTGGTGCCTGGATTCTCTCGCCACCTCCCTCCTCACCACGGCTGTTCTGATGGGCAGGACCCACAGGGCGGGAAAGGTGATACACGACCACCCGGTCTCACCTCCGGGGGACAGCTGAGTGCACGTGCAGAGCCCGGGACCCTCCCCACCAACCCCAGCACGGCCACCCACACTTGGGGACGCATGGGCCTGGGGGCAGGGCCTCGGCCGAGCTCAGCACCTGGAGGGACCAACGGTGAGAGCCCCCACCTGGAGGTGGGGGCCTGGCCGGGCCCGCTGGTAGGGTAGCCAGCAAAGGGGTGTGCAAAGCGAGTGGCAGGGAGAGGCTGTTCCGCTATGAGCCCCGCGAGGGGTCCCCAGAGGCAACTCTGGATGGCGCCCTCCATGCCGCATGCCCAGTCCACACACCTCACTGATGATCAGCCCTCCCCTTCGGGGTCCCAAGGCCGTCCCCCAACACCCAGCGGCTGTTACAGACGCCCTTTCCAGGCTGGGTGGCAGCCCCTGAGGTGCGCCATCCGTGGAGGGGGAGAAAAGGGCAAAGTTCAAGGTGGTGAGGACTAAGGGTGCCACCTGGGGACCGGCTCCCAGCTCAGCTTTCTCCGTAGCGGGAGGGACAC